CACCGGTTTATGTCTTCACAAAAGAGTATTTCACAGCTAGCTCTAGGTTCTGTTTGCACCCCGCAATCACGAAGCTAATGGATGTGTCCTTGTGCTTCCAAATCCTGGGAGACATTTGGATCAGAATATGTTCTTTAATGCCATATTTATTTTTATAGGCAGAGATAATCCCACTGTTTCTGATACTTGACTGCCAGAAACACTCAAGCAGCAACATAAATTAATATTCATCAGATTGAGATTATTTAAAAAATTAATAATTTACCTATAATTTTGTAATTGCCAAAATTTTGAACATCTTCATGACCTTGAGGCTCCTGAAGAGTTTTTTTCTTGAAACATTTCCAACTTCCTGCCTTAGCTAGCTGGACTGTGTACGAACAGTAGGTTAGCTGTTTAGCTAAGTCTAAACCCTCAAGCAAGAGGGTTTTAAAGTCCCTAACGCAAAATTATTTAAAAGTTTATTAATTTGGTTAAGGGAGATAACATGTTTGACTTAAAAATATTGTTTTTTTAAAATTATGTTTATCAAATTCTCAAATCTTTTGAGATTTGAGAATTTGAATACATTTAGCTTCCCTTCCATCTGGGTCGGTCTTCTATATTTTCTCGACTATTTTATTGATAGCTAAATGCTCACTCTTTCTTAACTTCAAAATTGGTTATCTGTGCTAAAATGCTAACAAGCTAATGTTTATTTTTTCTGTTAGCTCTGTGACAATCAGCTCGCTACGTCAGCTAGCTGCAAAATTAATTAATCGCAATTTCTTCTGTGCGTAACAAGGACTTTGTTTGTTGTGCTTCTAATTTAAAATCTAAAATCTAAACAAGCACAGCTTGATAAAAAAAAGCAAGATTTTCACTACAAACAAATGCTTTCCTTATTAAAACCTTACTTAAATTCAAACAGCATTACAGCGAGTTACAACTTAAACAAATTAAACTCAATAAATAGTATGCGTAAATGGAAATATAGAAGTCTATTATATTTTGGAGACAAATCTGTTTTTGTATTTTCTTTATAGCATGCATGAAAGAATTCTGCCATGCCCACGCTGGCACTCAGTGATTTACTGATCTGTAAGGAATTGTGGCTCAGTGAATATATGAATATTATCTTGCAAGATGAGATTGCTCAGGGTTAGCTTAGTTTGACTGGGGTCAAGATTTGCAGAGATCATTCATTTGAGTATAACACCGGTGGCATGCGAGTACGAAATGTGGGAGGGCAATTTTGATGAAGGTGGAAGTTGACATGGGGCTCTGATTATGTAAACTATAATTATATTTAAAAAAAAAAAAAAAAAAAAGCTGCCTCGACATTCTCGGATGCTTCTTGTAGTGTTTACAGAAGCTTCAACCGTGGGTTAAATCTAAACCTCAGCTGAATCCTTTACAACAGCAGACTTAACCTCTGAAGTTTTTTTTTTTTTTCACTAGCAGGAAGAGTTTCAAGCGTTCTCCCTCCTGCTCCGTCTGAATACGCTGGTTCCCAAGAGCAGCAGAGTTTAATGAGCCTCTCTAGAAGTGGCACTCAGATTCACAGCTTGGGAGATGGCCAACAACTGCTCCCTGAAGACTGTCTTCTCATAATGGATGTTTTCCTGATGGGAAGAAGTCGAACTTCCACTTATGCGATAATTTAATGAAAGCTATTTGCTAGCCCCGAGAAGAAATGCTCTCAACATCTCTAAATATCGAACAAAATGAACTTCGGGGTAAGGCAAGGCTCGGTGTACAGCTAAGTATTTTTCCTGGATGAAACGTGATATTCTCCTTACGGGTAGGCCCTTTTCCACTGCTTCATAAAAATTCTCAACATGCAGCTCTTTGGCCTGGAAATGTAATAAAGGAGGTGAAAAAAAAAAATCATAATTTGCTGTGTCCTTTAAAACAGTGAACACTTCAACCGCACTGGCTCCACGATCATTTATTCTTCAGTTCACAGTGCTTGGGACAAAACCTGGAACGCAGCAGATACGTTCACAGGAATCAGGAGTTTGTTTGTTGTTGAAAGATGTTGGAAAAATCTAACAGAGCTCCGGAATGAGCCACAAGACAAATTAAAACAGACTGAAGTAATTTCATAGTTAGTACATTCTGCATCCGTGGCTTCCTGTCTGCTTTGTCTTCGGCTCCGTTTGATGTCCCACATAAAACCCCACTCCAATAACCCATATCCCATAACCTCATTTGGCAGCATGGTGACAGTTTCCCAGATACCAAACCGTATCCGTTTCCCTTCGTCGTGTGGCATGGGTCCAACCTCCATGACTAATTTGGCAAATGGATCTCCACTTGGAGTCATGGTTTGGTTGTACAATCAAGCCATGAGCGAATATCTCTAACAGAGAGGATAAATAAATCCTTGTTTTTTTTTTTTTTATTTTTTTTATTTTAAGCATTTTTCAGTATCATTTTTGCTTCTGAACTTAGGAAATTTGAGTTGATTTGTGCTTGTTTGCTCTCCACGCAGCCGGGATGTCACTGAACCTCAGATTGGGGCGAGCATAGCTGCTGATAGCAAAGATGGAAGAACTTTACTCTGAAATATACACAAAACAGTGTGAATATTTGAATATTTCTTTCGAACGTCTGGCTCTTGTCCTCATTTTCTATCCCAAGGACTGCTGACTGTTTGCAGAGAAATGAATTTACACATTACGCCACGTTACAACCACCTTTCTCCACAGGGACAGATCAGTTAAAAGTATGTTTTTTCCTTAATTATATCTTGAAAAGTGTGAAAAATATTTGTTCTCAGCCATCTTTAGCCTGCTATCCCTAAATAGATGCTAATTAGATGCCTTGAAAGGTTACCACTAATTAGATTACTTGTAAGGGCAAGTGCTAACAATTGTTTCAAAAGTCAACAAATTAGTAAGTAGAGTCCAAGTGGGTATAATTGAATTTAGAAGATTAGAGAACAAACATAAAAAACTCATTTATTTAACTAAACTTACTGTAAAGTTTTCCAAAAACATTTCAGGGGGCGATAGAAAACATGTGGAAGAAAGTGGTGTGAACTGATACAATCCTCTTTATCCATTCACAAAGAGGTGGAGGAACACTTGACATTACACATCATCCTGAACACATCATTACCATGATGAACAGTTCATGGTGGGAGCATCATACTGTGGTGATGTTTTTTTTGTTTTTTTTTTTTTTTTTCTCAGCAGGCACAGGAAATTTGGCTTAAGGTCATGGATCTGCAACTTCCAGCGAGACAACGACTCCACACATACAACCAGAGGTGCAAAAAAAATGCTTTTGGTCAAAGCATATTCATGTATTAGAATAGCCCACTCAAAGTCCAGACCTTGTTTCTGTTATCAGATGCTCTCCATCCAATTTGATGAAGCTTGAGGTGTTTTGCAAAGGGAAGTAGGCATAAGTTTCTGCAGCATGATCAAATGTTCACGGGATACTCGGCCTTATTCCTTGAAAACAAAAAGGTTGAGCTATTTCTTCAAATTTTACTTCACAGGTTTTAGACCCTAGTGATGATTTTTCAGCCTTTCTGGAGATCTTTCAACGATTTTCGTTGTGCATTTATGACTTTTGTCCTCTTTCCCAGACATTTGACCTGAAAGAGAGATGGGTTTATATATGTTGGTTGAGCCACTTGACACTCACCTATGACTTCTTCAAGCATGAAGGACAAAGATAAGCCAGAGTTTGTTTGTTTTTAAATGTTCAAAGAAAAACTCTGAATGACCCTCAAAAAGCCTGCAGAGCTTGTTGCTCAGAACTACTGTGAAAGAAAAGATGTTCTTGGGAACCAAGGTGTACAATAATGAAGGAGAACATCTACGTTTTAGCACAGCATTGTACATTTCTGACGACCGTTTGGGCGCTTCAGGAGACACTTAGTGCCACAAACAAAAACTTGTTGTTTTAGTCGCTGGCGCAGTAAATGTACACTTAAAGTGCCGGTAAAACGCCCAAAATGTCACTCTGTGTTCGTGTTTACTGTACCGTGTAAGACTCTGGAGTTCTGCTTTAGACCAATCACAGCAGTGACTGACAGAACCTGTTCTGACGGTCTCAATTATTTCACGGCCACTGGCTTGCATGTATTCTCGGCTTTATGTTTCTTTTCTACTAACGGAATATTAGTCAGCCGGCGCATAGCTGCATTTGTTTGGACATGACATTCAGGCAAGTTCGGAGCAGCTTCTTTCGTGTGTGTGTTTTTAATTGAAGTGCTGACAGGGAGGTCACGCACGCCGTTCACGGAGCTCTTTTTTGGTTTATTGGCCCGGGTCAGCCTGACTGAGAGCTTAAGCTTGTCAAAGCCCCTGGGAGGCAGAGATAAGGAAAGGAAGCATAAAACCAAAATAAAGCTGCTTTGCTCATGGACGAAGACAAACTTATAAGTATGCTTACTGTTCCAGGATAAAGTGATTATACCCGTCTGGACCAAACGCAACTCTCCCGAGTGTTTATGTGCAGTTTGGTTTTTTTGTGCACACTCAAGAAGACTGAAACTCATAAAAACTAACGATCTGTCGCAAATACTTTGTTCAGAATTGGAAGAGTTCTTTATGATGAAGCAAAGGCAGAAGAAACTTATTTGGATGTCAGATCCCTGTCTAGGAACAGCCCCGACATTCACTGGCCAGGCTCTCATATTTCATATAATGACTTGTCCTGCGTTCTGCGTCTGGAGCTGAAATTATCACAAGAAATATAAGGAGCAAATGACACAGAGTTTCAGATGAGAATACCTTCAGAGATAAAAAAAAAAATAATAATAATAATAAAAAATGCCCCTGCGTGGTTGGCATCTCAAGACCAATCTCGCCTCGTTTCTTATTTTTGAATTGTTGAATCACTAATGAGATACAGCAATGAGGCACAGAAAAAGCTGATAAATTCACGAGAGCCTGAACTGTAAAGATTTTATTTAAGCAGCGAGAACACTATGAAATTTCCAACTCATTTCAGGTGATCTGCAGTGTTTCCATTTTGATATACCACAATTTTCCACAGTAACATTTTCAGATGTTTATTTATTTATTTTATCTTCAAACATGTATGCTCACAAAGACTTTGTGTAACATGATGAGGCTTTCACTGTAAGCATTAAAGAGTGAACAGAAAGATGAAGAACAAGGTTTTTTTTTTTTCGGCATGAATGGAAGGTTTAAGGTCCAATCACAACCCTGGACTTTGACTAGTTCACTTGAAGGCCTTCATTTTATTTATTTTTGACATATGCAGAGGTGGACGTGGTGGTGATGGTTCCATCAGTTCAGTGAAGTCATCTAGATCCTGAAGCAGCCCTGCACTGTCACATTACCACCACTATCTTTGACCTTGGGTCTGATGCTTTTTGATCTGCTCTTGTACTCCTTCAGATCAGGGCAAGATGTGAAACAGATTCTGTTTTAAGTGTTTACTTCAAAACTAAGCTCTTTTGCCGTCATGACGTAACTTATTTTAAAACTCCATTTGGACCCACAGCATTTGTAGAAATTAGGAACCACAGCCAGATGATGTCTGAAAATACTTGAAACCTACTCCAAAAAATGTAGGACCGCCTATTTTACTAGAGACTACCACCGAAACTAACATTTTCAGTTTTCCTTATTTCTGCTCTTGGGGGGTACAGCCAATCAACATCAAAGAAAATGAAAGGTCCTCGTTGATTGGCTGCTTTGTGAACACCAGCCAATAGGATGTCGGATAGTGCTGTGTCTAGGTATTTCAGCTTCTCATGCTGCATTTTCATTTAAATGTTGTAAATATGCAGTAGGAAAAAAGCATACACGAATTTTCCCATAAATAATTTAAGTCACGTTCCACAGAAAAGACAAACAGCCAGTAGGTGAATCTGTGAATCCTGAACCATAGAGAGGCGGGGGTTCATCCTTCCCCGATATTAAGATTCGTAACTATGATATGAAAATTTTAAATGTAAAAACAACACACAAAAAAATAAATAAAAGAAAGCTGGAAGAAGGCACATGCTTCATCACAGTATCAGTTATTTTTGGCATAAATATTGGGGGCAAAACAACAAAAACACAATATATTATTTTATTTTCTCAACAAAGAAAGCAACATTGAATAAAATGTTTGTTTATGCCGGCTTCAAAAGCGGACATCGTTAAACGCAAAAACGTCAAACCAACGAATCAACCAAAGCAATTTTACAGACAAAAGAACCTCGTCAGAAGCCGACACAACAAAACATGTGCCCTCAAAGCGAGCGTGCGTTTCACACACGCCTATGCAGATAACAAATCTCTCATCTGGTGCTATAATGCAGTTTAGCCTCAGGCGTAAATGACCTCTGAGAGAAATTTCTTTGGTTTTCAGTCAAGCTTTGAGTAAGACTACAAGCTGAAGCTACCACTGATACCCACTGGAGGCCAAGAGTTTTGTTAACTCCAGTTAAAGTAATAAAGCTGGAAGACATGTGCTGTAGGTGGCGCATTGGCATTTGGCATGGAGGAAAATTGCACTTGCTTTTAAGTTCAAAACTAATAACTTTTGCCACCTGAAGGAGTTAAACTACTCGAATCGTTCAGCATGAAATGTCCAATTTTCCAATCGGCTGCAAAGTCCTAACCCGCTGGTTTTTCCTCAGAGAGCGCCGCTTTCCTTAGGAGGAAACAACTTTTGTTCGACCTGTTTTTAGATGGAAACCACACACATACAGGGTAATTTAACAATAAATATAATCATAAATCGTAACTCGGCACCTTCTGAGTTTTTTTTGTTTTTTTTTTTAAGTCATAAAAATATTAAGCAGTCTTTGCTACAGAGAGGATTTCTCTTGCATCTTGTGACATTTGGTAAAAGAAAAAAAAACAAAAAAACTTTTGAGGTTTTGCTAATCCACTTCAGGAAAATGGTGTCAAGGGAAAATGTAACATTCCCAAACATGCCCACGTCTTCAAAACTGGGAGAAAAAAAAAAAAACAGGACAAAGGAGTTCTTTGTTTTCTTCCATATATCTCAGTAGTCTTTGTCTATCTCATCACTATTATCTAAAGCAGTAGTATTCGTCCGATTCCACCCTGAGTTTCAGCGGCGATTTGGTGAAGGACTCGCCAGAAATTACGGCTTTATCCATTAAACGGTCGAGGTCCGTGGGCGGGGACGAGTCTCCGGGTAGGTCCTCCGCCAGAGTGTCCAGGTAGCTGCCGACGGACAGACCGTCCAGGCCGTCGCCGTTCCCGTCGTTGAGGCTGTTGAAGCTGCCCCGCAGGGAGGAGCCGTCCTGGCTGTCCGACAGGCTGTACAAGCTGCCCGTCAGGCTGCCGTCCTGGCTCGTTGCGTCCCCCTTGTCCTCCATCATCCAGCGGATGGACTCGATGCCGTCGTTGATCGACATCAGCTGCTGCATGAGCTTCACGTCGATGGCTCGCAGGTTCGCCTGCATGGTGGGAGTAGAGCATTGTAATTTAACATGGCGCAAATGCCGAGTTACACCTCAACGTTTAACGTGCTAAGGGAAGAAAATGGAATTGGTCATCATCTGAATTGGCAAGTCGGAGCTGCACAATATCTATTAAATTACACTCTGTGCCAAATCTTACTCTATATCTATCTTCCACTCATTGTCAATATGGTTATTTAATAATCATAAGGCTGAGTTGATCCAAACAGGGGCCAGAACAAGAATAAATGTCAACGGGGGCAGTAAAAGGTTTTCAGAAAACAACAGAATAAAAACTGTTCAACAATAATGAGTATGTTATATGCTTAACTATAAAAACTATAAAATAAATAGAATCTCATATGCAATGATTTGAGTGCATGAGTGTAAGATACAGCTGGTTGATGGATATGAAATGAAAACAAGAAAGGACAGAAGGGCAACGAGTATGTAAGAAATACGCATGCCTGTTGGCAAAGCGGTGGACTGACCTTGAGCCTCACTTATGAGATAGATGATTCATAACCAGAGGAATTGCCAAAATTATGATGTAACAATAATAAAAATGTCAACTTGAATAACACGTATTAGCAAAAAAAAAAACAAACCAAAAATAAATACTAATCAGTGCAGAATCTTGGCTTTCAACTCCACTCTAGTTAGTGACTTAACTTTCCCCCCACAACTATATTGGTTTCTTATATTTAGAAGAGGGGGGGGGGGAAGCAGGACGAACAAAACCATCACCATGACTATTACTAACCAAACACTGGATCAAGTTGCAAAGCTCAGCTTAGACCTTGTAATGAGCAGATGCAGTTGGCTTTTTTTGTTTTGTTTTCTCTTAACTGTTAGTGTTCTCATGGTTGGAACAGTCAGTGCTGTTTTGTTTAGACTATTGGCCTTTACTACGTGGCACAGACCACTAGCAGTTTCCATCCACGATAATGAATGATATACGACCGCCATGCACAGAGCGACCATTGTCTGAACTCTCTGGCATGACGAACCGTGCCACTGGGTGTGTGTGTGTGTGTGTGTGTGCGTGTGGGTGGAAATGGACTGCATATTTGCAGCGTTTTACAGGGATTCCCCCGTCTGTGGGTGACAATCAGCGTGAATGAAAAACAACAAATGGGCAGCTGTTACATCCTGCCACCAGGACACGACAGCACCTTCTCCGTTCCTGCGAAACCGGCGGAAAATTTTCCATCGACATCTGTTTTAGGCTGCAGCATCCTAAACTGATTGGTTTGTTTACTTGTATGGCAATGACTACTTGGGATTTTTGAGGGTTTCTCCTGTGGAGAAGGCCAACTGAGATAATTGCAAGTGTAATATTATCCCTGACATCATAATAAATCAAATCCTAACAACACAAACTCTGTAGTGCCAGAACAGTCCACTGGCCATCTTGCAGGGCTCTGGTTCACAGAGTGAAAAACCCGGTCAACCAGACCATCTGCTCAGGAATCCTAATACCTTTTGTGACCTCAGTCAGTCAAAACAGTAGTCAGCTGTCTGGGAAAGCGTCCATGGAGACTATATGGGGAATAAGTATCTCTAGGTGTAGTTAAAACAAAAGAAATAAGTGACAGAAAAATGTATCACATCGTCTAACTACCTTTATTAAAAACAAGCAAAGCACAAAGTATTCTTATAGTGGCTAAAATGACAGTTATAGCTGTGATATTTGTATTGCTATTTTGATTTTAATACAAAGATCTAACCACAATACAGAATAAAGAGCTGCTAAAATGAACTATGTTTAACTTTTTACAGAATGACTGTCCATGTGTGTAAGGCATATTAAAAAAGGTTGCTGCTCAAAACATATTATTTTAGCTGAAATTAAACCATCTGATCATCTGTGCAAGTTACAAATGAAGTTATTAAAATAAAATAAATAAAAAAAAAACTGATTAATAACAACAAAATCTTAGATATTGCCATGAATGTTTCAACAAATGCTATGAACAATAAGACTGGAAGAATACAGTAATTGCATCTTTTCTATCAGCAGGTCTGAAACTGCTCTTTGTGTCCCAATAACTAAATTTGTGATTACACAACAAGCTGAATTATCGCCTCCAAAACAGCTGCTTTACTTTGTTATTGGGATACCATAAATTTATTTAGAAATATAACTGTTCATAAAATCCAAGAATAGTTGCCTAGATTTGTATTATCTTTAATATTTTTCGTATTATCAACCTGAGGTAAACATACATGTGATTCATTATTTTCATTCCTCTTAGCACTCAGGTTTCATTTAGCAACAAATGGTCCAAATACTTAAGCTTTTTGTCTTTGCTACCTTTCTGTTATTAAACTTTTTGAGGAGTTCTCTAACCAAAACTGATTGACTTATCAAACAAAATGTTACTTTAAGTAAGTTACAAACAAAACATAGGTTACAGTGCTATGACTCTTTAAAATGAAACTCATTTTAATGCAGGACGGAAGTTTGATTTAAAAACGTTAAGAGAAAAAAAAGTTCTATGCTCACCATCTCCTGTCTCAAGAACAGCATTTTACCCTGCAGTCTCTTCAGGTCCGTTGAATTTGCGCAGAGTTTGCAGTTGGCCAAGTGAGGCGCAGCTGACTTGTCGTGCTCGTGCCTGTCGCTGCGTCTCCCTCCCGCGAGCGACCGAACGAGACCGTCCGGAACTTTTCGACCCAACTTGGTCTCTATGTCCGTCAGGTCCGGAGAGCCGCTGCGCTCCTCGTCCATCGTCCCCCTCAAAAAAAAAAAAAAAAAAAAAAAAAAACCGCAGTAAGTGGTCTCACGGTGCGGCTCTAGGGCAAATTAAACTGAGGCGCTACGGCTGTTGAAACAGTCAAATCCAACTCGTATGTGATCTGCAGCCACACCAGCAGACCTCCCATTAAAGCCTGTAACCAGTAGGAGGACAGTTTAACACCAGCATGCTCCCTGAGGACACTCCCATTACAAGAAGGGCTGTCTCTGAAACCAGACACCCCGCCAGGTGAGTGCTGCCGCTTACACCTCTCTCCCTGGGGTGGAGAGAACACGCTTTATGGACAAATGTGAACTTAGGAGTCAGTGTTTTCGTGTACCTCTTTCTCTACCTCGAAAGAGAATAAATAGATATATAAATAAAATATGCAAATAGTGCAGCATGGCCTCCTTGTGACATTAAATAAAGGCCTATTACCATATATTAATTGATCTATCTACTTTTGGTCAAAAAGTTTAAAATGCAAAATAATTGTACTCCTAAATGCAGCTGAATTATGTTGCAGTGCTCGCATTCTCCAAAACACTTGATCTATTTTAATAATATATCGTAGCACGGATGTCACCATGTTGTTTACGCTGCAATGAATTCTGGTATGCTTGGTGCTTGGTCCGATTCTGCCACCTCAGTCCAGCCAAATAAGCAATGAGTAAGGTTGTTAAGCGCTTAGCTATTGCTACTATGGACAGTAGCAACAGCTCCGTTATCACTGAAAAGAGGTTCCAGCCTTTCCTGCCTCTCCCAGCGTCTTTCGCTCTCTAGCTGGCAGTGGGGTTTAAGATCTTTGTGGATGAAGACAGTTGGTATGGCACTTGGTTTTAGCTTGTGAGGCTGACGATCACCTGTTCGAGCCTTCATCAGTTTTGCTTGTACAAATGACTCAAAATCTTCTGGAGATAAATGTTGACGGCTTCAGAAGTTGCGTTCGGCCCTCTCCCACAGATGGGAAATGATGAAGACTTACCTCATTATTTTATTTATTTATTTTATTTTTTAGTTACAGCCAACAGCGACACTTTGTGGCATTGTCTAAATTTACACCAGTCAACGACAATATGGTTAACAACAGAAAGCTAACTTCTGTGCAGAAGTTAGCATTTCCTGTATGTATCTACAGAGTAAGATAAATACAGGATCGACTGGACTAATAAATTGCGTAAAACAATAGATCCTTTAAAACAGAGTTTGAGTTTTGAAACCTGCATTGTATTGACATAAGATGCAAAATGGGTCATTAATGAGGATTTTAGGTATTAAGACCAACTTAGAAGGGGCTGTGCTTTAAAGCAGCAGTTCGACAAGTAAAACCTGAAATGAAGTATTCTACATTGATGAAAGACGACTAAGAATAAAATTTATGAAAATAAAATTTCTGCTTTTTTTCATTCTGTATTTAGACCACATTAGATAAGAATCATATTAGAAAACCACTAAGCATAGATTTAGCAAAAGTGGAAAGGCTCATTCAGCAGATTTTTAAAAATAACTCGTTTTGAGTCACAAACAGAATAATCAGAGTGATGAAAGTCAAAACATTTTTAAGTAAAAAAAAACAGACATTAAACTTTTGACTTAATTTCCTTTTAATTACCTCTTGTTTTTTATTAGCAACTTAAATACATTAGTTAGCTAAATAAGGTGTAAAAAAACAACGTGCAACTCTTTTTGTAAGTTCTGAACAAGCAAGATTCTTAGAAATTGAACAACAGCACCCCCTTGTGGGCATTACAGCTCCCTCACTTGGACACTAGTTTCTCACTGGCAGAGATTGTTAAAAGCTGTGTTTATGACAAACCTTTGAGTGTAAATTACAATTACACTGAACACAATTTAATAGGTTGGAAAGCAAACTACTTTAATATTCTTTACCTCATTATTTGACAGGGCATCATCTTGCATGAATTTTACTTGTTTTTCATTATCCCCTCCGCCCCAGCTTTTTCAATGCATAGTGAAAATTGCTGTGATTGGACAATGCAAAGCAACATAAGTATAAAGAGTTAAGAATCTTAACTTTTTAGGGGGTTGGGCATACACGCTGCAAGATTTCCTTTTTTGTGTTATGGAGAACAGAACAACATTGCTTTGTTGTTGGAAAAATCAGGAGAAAAGACACGTGCTGGGGCTGTGATCTCAGACTACAGATTGGCCTTTGTCGTCGTCATAGCGCTGGTACTGGTCCCCGAGCAGAGGCTGGTGGCCCTCCATCTTGCGAGATCGGGCACGCACAGCACACGTGGTTGCTGCGAAGATGACTGCCACCAACACGAGAGCAGCGACTATGGCTATGGTTATTATTTCAGTCAGAGAGAAAGGTGTGCCTAGAGGAACAAAAGCAGACGATTATTACTTTCGATGTGCTTAATATAGCCAAAATCTTTATATTATAACCACAAACTTCAATGTATTTTATTTAATATTGTGTAATAAAAGGCAAAGAGAAGAACACATAACCTGCTTTTTGGGATTTTTTTTTTCTTTGCAAATAAAAATCTGCATTTATATTCAATCCCCTATACACTAATACTACTTCATATAATCAAGTATTCCCCATTTGCCAGTTGATACAAATGTCTCCACCAACTTTGCACATCTTGAGGAAAACATTTTTGCTCATTCATTTTTGTGGAATAGCTTAAATTAAATAAAATTAGATGGAGAGCATCTGTAGAAAAACTTTTTTAAGTCTTGCCACTGATTCTTAATTGGATTTATGTCCTGGATCAATCTACCAGATGCTTTGATCTGAAAACCCACCTACAATATAAAGTAGGTGTGTTTCATTTTGATTCAGGGTGATAACTTCCGTTTTCTGCCTTAGACAGTGTTTTCTTGTACACCAAAATGCCATCGACTTTAACATAAATTCCAATAAATTACATATTTTGTGGTTGCAAGTGGCAAATTGTGAAAACCTTTAAGAAACAGACGTGCTTTTACCAGGAACTACAAGAGTAAATCAAAAAGACTTTGGCATACCTGGCCATTCAGCTTCATAAGAGTAGCCCAGATTTTCAGGCGCAGTCACAAACATCTCTGCGTTTGTCACAGGAGGCCAGAAGGGTACCATGTTGTAACCCCTGTTATGACCAATAGGGGCGTTTTCTTCAGGATACACAGCTAAATCTGTTGGGAAATTACTCAAGTAAGAGGAAAGAAAATACTAAACATGCATAGACTGCATATCAGAATTAGTTGCTATGGCACCTGGACCGTGTCTCCTGAGCCATTCATCGAATATAGCGTCTGTAAAGGTGTGTAGCAAGACGAAGATGGGGTCGTTGGGCGACAGGTGCGTCTGCCCTCCTGTTCCATTCAGGAACAAGTGAGCCAGGTTGTGGAGGCTCCTCACTATGGGGTCGTAGTTCCCCTTGGGGGCGCTGTAGCCTAACAAAGCAACACGGGGGGGCCTTCTAGTGACATATCATGTACATGTAGTAAAGACTAAGACATCACAGAGCTCTAATTCACCTTCGACTGTGTTCCTGAAGCTCTCAGAGGAGGTGGAGTAGAAAGGGGGTGTGTCGAAGGTGCCAACTTGTAGGCAGTCGGCCACGTCCTGGGGCTCTGGGAGACGCTGGACCATGGGCCTGTTGACGTTTCCTGCTGGGTTTCTCCTGATGGGAGAGGTCTCTGTGCCTGACAGAGAATAGAAAAGCTAACCACTGGTGTCGTCATTCTCACACTGTTCCTTCTCTTCTGAAAGAATGAAAGGAATTTTAGCGTGGTCACGAACACTCGTCTTACTGTTGCAGATGGTTCCCAGCGTGTCGTAGTCCTCAACGCTCTCGCAAACCACCCTCCACTCCGAGAAGATAGAGTTGGGGCTTAGGGAATTTATGTCAAAACTGCTCCTGGCTCCCATCAGGTCATCTGTGCAGATGTCGCACGTGTTCCCGCCGATGGCAAAGTTCCAGTAGGGCAGGGCAAAGGAGGGATCCTGCAGCATGTCCTGCATGACAGAAACAGAGTCCAAAGTTGCAATAGGTTTTGTTGTATTAAGCTCAAACCGGCAGATTAGGAGGAGAAAAACTAAAAAATTTACCATGGCAGTAACTTCACATGAAGGTGATGATTACTACAGTCTAAATTTGCAATTTACAGTATCTGGAAAAGCATTTTTAGATTGAGATGCCTTAAGAAAAAGAGAGACTTGTCAGAAATGACTGATCGGTGGTCTTGCTTACTAGCCTGTGCATTCACCAGAGGCTCTGTTCTGACGGAAGACCTGTGGAGCAGCAGGGAGCCTACACAAGCATGATTGACAGTGATAAGACCCTCCTCCTGGCTCTAGAAAAGGCAGTTCTGCAGGTATCTGTACGACCACTGAGAGGAGGCTTAAGAGTACTTTTTTTCCCCACAGATTATCTGCCTCATTCTACTGTTAGACAGTTTTAACAAATATGTAAAAATAAAACAAACATATTTTTACGAAAGTTACCTACTGCAGCTTTAATAAAACTATAAATAGGCCATCAACATTCTGATTTTAAGATCCTCTACCCCGTCTCTTGGAACCTAGGAAAACAGAAATGTGGTGCCATGAGGATTTTACTGATTCAAAAGCAGAAATAATACTTGGAGTAGACCCTGATTTCATCTTTTATATGCACACAAGCACCTTGAAGCACATCAAAGAGTGCATATTTTCCCTTAAAGTGGATAAGAATCATCCACACGGTTCAAATATAGGTTTTTGTTTTTCTCGTGTCTTTGTAGGATAGAAAGTGTCAGTGTTTCCCAAATTAGATCTTTCTCTAACTCTGTTTGGCCGGGTTTGAACAAAAGCCCCTAATTAAGGAGCTCAAGCAGCAAACCTGCACAGGATATAAGGATGGAGTTTCTCTGTAGGAGTCCAGCACTCTGCCATGGTTTCAGCTCCACATGCCAGCCCCATTTTCCACTCTCAGCTGTAACCCGCTTGTGAAAGGGATTATTAAAAAATGTCTGGTACTGTATTTTCAAAAAAAAGAAAAGAAAAGAAAACCCTTCTCACTCAAGATTTTATTGTGTTAGGGAAAAAGATAGCGTGTAAATTCAGTTGGAACCAAAGCCCGTGGATTGTTTATAGAAGCATTTTGCGTGCTGCTTGTTTGTTAAGGCGTAACATTGGAAAGTCGATCAGGATTTTCTGGTAAATACAGAGGACTGAAGATACATTCACTAAACATAAACAAGCAGAGGAGCAAAGCAAAGTAGTGTGTGACCCTTATCACTTAATATGTTTTTATTAATTTCACCTCCTCACCTGCATGTCTCGCTCCAGCTGCAGCAGATGGAACCTGTGCCAGGTGAGGAACCCGGGGCCTTCGTGAGAGAAGTCCACCCCGCCAAA